ACAGCGGATTTCCAAGGCAAGTCCATTTAACATGGGGTACGCTGGCAAGGAAATTTCGATGCGTCATTCCTACTTGGCAATGGCCCTCAGCAGAATGTTTCAAAAATAATTTCCTTCTTAACTCTAAAAGAATGAATATTCATTATAGAATTACTGAAAAACATAGAAAATAATTAAGAAAAATAAACCTGAGAGGGGTGATACACACATATACACTCCTCCTAGCAACTGAGGAGGCTGAGACAGGAGGCTTGCAAGTTCAAAGCCAGCCTCAACAACTAAGCGAGGCCCTAAGCAACTCAGCAAGACTCTGTCTTTAAATAAAAAATAAAAAGGGCTGGGGATGTGGCTCAGTGGTTAAGCACCCCTGGTTCAGTCTCCAGTACCAACAAAACAAAACAAAAACCCAGAGGCCAAATTTCAGTGGGCTTTCTATTGTGATGCACAGTTGTCTGAGAATTGGAGAAGAGAGCTCTAATGCTGAATTCAAAGAACTCTGAGGATTATTGAGCAGGCATGCACATACCTGGAAGAGACCTGTTTACGTAGCCATTGACTGTGTGCATTCTAGGCAAGGGCCCAGCAGGTGGAGAATCCATATCCTGTGTCAAGGGGCCCTTTGTTTCTGAGTGCCAGCTCTTCCCTGATGAGAGAGAAGGTTAAAAAAAAGTCACCTAACCTTTCTTTCATGAGTGATTCTCCTTCTGTTCTTTTCTGCCTCCCTCCTTTCACAAAAAGATACTCACAAAATGTTTGTCACAAAATGGAAGTTCATAATCCACTTGAATCAAATGTATGAAATATGATATGTCAAGAGCTTTGTAATGTTTTGAACAACTAACAATAAAAAAAAGTTTGTCACAAAAATAGACATGGAAGGGCTGGGTTTGTGGCTCAGCAGTAGAGCACTCACCTAGCATATGTGAGGCCCTGGGTTTGATCCTCAGTACCACATAAAAATAAATAAATAAAATAAAGGTATTATGTCCAACTACAACTAAAAATAAATATTAAAAAAATAGACATGGGTGACTTATCCCCTCAAAATCAATGAGAGAAAACATTAGCAAACTGATTGTCTCTCCTTATATTTGTCCATAACAATAGGTTGGAAATAATAATGATAAATAATAACTAGGGAAAGGGAGAATACTGGTTAGTTTGAGCCATGATTTAGTTAAAGGGAAGTAGATGAAAAGGGCTGTCAGTCCTTGTCTCTGTCATAATTGCTTCATTTCAGTTTATAATGAAACTCTACACACCTGAAAGCTTCTCAACCTCCTCTCTAAAATTAGAGCTAAAGTACTAGACATTTCTCAGACTGCTGTAGTAATAATGGAGGGTCAAGAACTCAAAAGGCAGGGAGACTAGTCATGAGAAAAATGATGGAGGCCTCAATTAAGAGCATAGTAGTTTACCAGGTGTGTTGGTGCACATCTATAATCCCAACAACTTGGAAAAGAGGATAAAGAGTTTAAAGCTACCTTCAGTAACTAGCCCCAGCAACAAAAAAGGCTAAAGTCTAATCCTCATAACAACTGTTTGAGAAAATATTTCATTTTTAGATTTGAGGAAACAGATGCAGAGGTTAATTTGTCAAAAGTCACATACTTAATGAGAGATGAAGATTAAACAATGTATTTAGGAAGTACAATCAAAAGTCTTTGCTCATGGATTTAAGGAGAGGAACAAGGAAAACCTGTGACCTAGTTCCTCTATCTTCCTACCTCATAGCTGATGCTAGCACCATGCTCTTGAATTGTTAGAACTATGAGCTAAATAATCCTCTTTTATTTTAAAAATATCTTACCTCTGGTATTTTGTTATAATAACCCAAAATGGACTAAGACAAATAGCATCATCAAGTTCATGCATCTCACCATTCTATTTCGAGGATCTATCCTGAATAGTAATAGTGTTTGTTTTTCTATAATCACCTACTCTGAACAGAAGCAGCCCACATTCTCAAATACCAAATTAAGGCAATAATTTGACTTCTTTCAGATCGGAGCTCACTAACCTTCATCAAATACAGCAAAAAGCAGTACAAATTGGTGCAACATCTGTGTTCTTTCTTTGGCCAAACTCCCTGGGGGAAATAGAGTGGGGCGAATATGAATGAATTTATCTTATACACAAAATCCCATCATAGAAAAAATCACCACTAGGAGGAGACATTTTTTTATCAACTGCTTGAGAATAAGAACAAATGTAGTCCTTTGTTGTTAGCTTTACTATAACACTGTTTCTTTGATATAAAGTTTCCTATTCCACAGTTTATAAAACCATCTGTGACAAAGGGTTATTTATTTAAATTTCAAATTTTTTTGGACTATTACTTTTATAAAATACATTAAAATGAATTACTAGAAAAATGGAATTTAAAAGACATACAAAAACACAAGCCAAATATAATATCTCTCTATGTGTATATATATATATATATATATATATATATATATATATATATATATATATACACATACAGACATACACACACATACAACAGAAAACAAAAACATTACAAAATGGATGGAAAATATGTAACGTTTATACTTTGCAATTTTAAGTGATACTACTTCATACCCACTAGGATGCCTATTTTTTAAATTAAAGACAAATATTGACAAGGATGTGCAGAAATTTCAACCCTCATGTAAAATAGTGCTACTGCTGTGGAAAACAGTTTGGTGGTTTAATCAATTATTGTTGTCATTTTAAACCAATAAATTGTGGAGTTATTCAACAATAGAGAACTAGAACATAAGAAAGTTCAAATGAAGCTAATTGTACCATAAAAACAGGATTAAAACTAAATTATACAAAGTTTAATTACCTAATTTACTTTATGCTATTAAGGTATAAATTAAGAACACATGAATAAAATTAAGATTATTTTAGGATAATTAGTTACAAAAATAAACAAACATCTACATTACTCAAATTTTATATACTTTTGACTTATAAAAACTAAGCACTTGAACCACTCACTGATGTGTTTACCTCCATAAAGCTTTCCAGGAAAAGAAAAGAATATTTTTTTCAGAGAAAAGAACACAAATGCTGTTATTAAAAGATCCTGTCCTGGGCTGGAGTTGTGGTTCAGAGGTAGAGCGCTTGCCTATCATGCATGAGACCCTGGGTTCCATCTTCAGCACCAAATAATAATAAAAGTAAAGATATTGTGTCTACATACAACTAGAAAAAAAAAAACCCTGTTCTTATTTATGTCCTTATTTCATTTCTGTCCTGCCCTTTCACCTACTTACCTTCTCTACATACCAGCAGAGCTCCAATGAGGCCTGAATTCAGGTCTTTTACCAGATCCACATGAGAAAGATATGAGTAGGTGAGACATGGTGGATCAGAGGCCATTGGACCATTCTCTTTCAAGACCTGCCATACATAGGTATGCCTCTCGCCAGGAAAGACTTTATCATCTTCTTTCTCCCTTTGGCTAGTCTGATCATCATATTCAGCTCCTAAAGAAAGAAGGTAGAAAACTGTCCTTTCTATGCCCATTGTCCACTCAGAAGAATATATCAAGCTCATTGGAACAAATGGATTCTACATAAGAAATAAACTTTAAGGATTCTTAATGTTTTTGCCATAAAGAAATTATAAATGTTTGAGGAGACAGATGTGTTTAGTGTCATTTAAACATAACACAAGGTGTACATGTTTGGAAGTATTGTCAGTCCCCATTAATATGAACAATCTTTACGTTATAATGTACTAGTTAAAAATAAATTTAATTTAATAAACAATGTATAAAAACATCCAAATGTACTCCAAAAGATATGCTATTATCATCTGTTAATAAAGATCTTAAAAATTAAAAAAAGAAGGAAGTGGGCTGGGGTTGTGGCTCAATGGTAGAGTGCTCGCCTAGCATGCCTGAAGCACTGGGTTCAATCCTTAGCACCACATAAAATAAAATCAAAAAATTAAGAAAAAAAAGAATAATTGACTGTATGAAAAAAAGAAGGAAGCAATTTAATTTGAAAAACTAATAAGCAACAGCTATAAATAGGGGAAAGCCTTATGTATTCCAGAGGAGCTTGAGACCACTAACCCTAACATAAATGGTAAAAATCAGGTTCTTATTCACATCTCCAGATTCTGTTAATTAATAATATTGCCTCCATTCTTGCATCATTTTGATCAATTCAAGTCAATTCATCAACAAACATGCATTGGATATATACTTTGTTAATACTCTTTGATAGGCAGGCATGGTTAAGATACAGAGATTTAAAAATTTTTAACTTGGTTCTTCCCTATAGGGCCAACACTATGTTTGATGGGGAATGTAGAAGTACAATTATAATACAATGTAGAAATATTCACTCAATGATCTGCTTTGTATTTGTATAAGTTTGCAAGTCTGTCATTTTTACCTCCCAAGTCAACTCTGGTAAGCCATATTACTATTTAACCCATTTGCCCAGACCTCACCAGGTTAGGGTACTCAAGAATTGTGTCTATGCTTAGCCCTTGCTGCAAAATTGTAGGAACCATGACCTCTCTAAAATTTCCCTGCGGGGCTGGGGATGTGGTTCAAGCGGTAGCGCGCTCGCCTGGCATACGTGTGGCCTGGGTTCTATCCTCAGCACCACATACCAACAAAGATAAAAAAAATAAAAAAAAAAAAAATATATATATATATATATATATATATATATATATATATTAAAAAGTTCTCTCTCTCTCTTTAAAAAAATTAAAAAAATAAAATGTCCCTGTATTATTCTGAAAACTCTCAAGTGGATAAAGCTCATAGAATTAGCCTAATCGTCTCCAGCAGAAACATGGGTGACCTTTTCTCTATACTGTCTATCCTCTCTTGTTACTTTACCCCAACCCAAATTTGGAGTGGATTCATGAAAGAAATCCAGAATATTAAGGCAATCTCATTTCAGAATAAGAACTTAGTCAACATGTAAGCACAGTTAGGCTGTATAATATAGAGTATGTATGCCAATAATGTATTAATGACTTACTTGAATCTTCTTGATTTACATATGCTAACAACTATATGAACAGTGTCATCATCAACTTTGGCACCCTCTTCACTCATTTTCTACATTGTGAAGGTTAAGGAAATGCTAGCTAGAGTAAAGGGTATGACCAAACAGGTTGTTTATTTTAATGATCTCACCTTGTGCTTCTGCTAGGTGGTGAAGGAGTGCCTGGGAAGTCAGAGCAAAAGGAGAAAGAAGGGAAGTTCCTCCCTAGGAAGTTTTCTGGGCATGAGAAGCAGATGAGATAGAATTTTTATGATTCTTGTCCTGGCTCCACAAGGGAGAACAGGAAATCTAAATCAATTTGGGGGCTTACACTAAAATAGTAATGTTCCTGACTTCATGAAATTTTCTTCCACTAGGTCTCCAAATAAATCCCTTGACAAAGCCACAATGAAGATTTGGGTCACACAGCATGATGAAACATGTTCAAACATGAGTCACCACATCAGGAGCAGCAGCTTCAATATATGTTAAATGACATTGTTTTGGGAGTGTACAGATGAGTGCTGTCCAATAGAAATATAACGTGAGCACATGTGTAATTCTAAATTTTCTCATAGACATGTTAAGAAAAGTAAAAGAAAATAGGTGAAATTATTTTAATTATGTATTTTACTTAACCTAATATATCCAAATATTATAATTTCAATATGTAGTCATAGACAATGAGTGGGATATTTTACAGTCTTCTTTTGTACTATGCATTTTAAATCCAGTGTGTATTTTATAGTATGCCTCAATTGTGACTCACCACATTTCAAGTGCTTGATAGCCTCAGTGGCTTAACTTGGACCAATAACTATGACCAGGAAGGAACAGGCTTTAAGAAAATGGCAGGTTTTGTTTACAGTGCATTTAGAGGAAGTGATTTTAAGGAGTGAGGAATATGTGTAATTTTGGAAGAAAAAGTAACTGGTGTGTGCAGGATTAAAAATATGGTCATTTTTTTTTCTTCCTGTTACTTGCCCATGCTAGGCCAAATAAACATTCTGTCCTCCAGGTTATAGAGACCTATATTTGTAGATACCTGACATATTTTTGCTTCCATTTTCCATACCACTTGACATCAGAAAGTACAAGGAAAAAGTTTTCCTTCCCACTCTTGGATCACTATCTCTAAGAACAAGGCAAGACAAGAGCTTTTAGTGGTTTGCCATTATGTGACAAAAGCCTGCCTGTGAATGACACCATAAAGAAGAGCTGAGATGGCAAGAGAAAAACAATCATTGCACTGTAGTGTAGTGGTTCAGAGTACAACTTCTGGAGTTAGATGTGTCTAGGTCTGGATCCTGATTTCACTACTCACTAACTATATGACCTTAAACTCAAGTACATTTTAGTCATTATTGTTATTGTTGTTGTCATATTTTTCAGTAAGTTTGCTTTCAAGAGAATGAATTCATTTCCAGGTGTCCCACTGTTATGGTTTAGATATGTTTTGTTCTCCAAATGTTCTTATGGTAGAAGTTTAGTTCTCAATGTAATGGTAATAAAAAGTGGTGGAATCTTTAAGAGGAAGCATGCATTAGTCAGGTTTCCATTACTGTAATGAAATACCTCAGATAATTAACTTAAAAAGAGGAAAGAAATAGCTCATGGTTTCAGTCCATGGTTGCTTTGCCCATTGCTTTTGGGCTTGTAGCAAAGCAGTACATCATAGTGGTAATGCATGGTAGAAGAAGCCTTTCACCTCATGTCTGACAAGCAGAGAAAGCGAAAGACAGGGAGCAAGGTCTTGATATACCTTCAAGAGCACACCCCAATGACATAACTTCTTCCCACTAGGCATCACCTCTTAAAGTTCAACCACCTCCCAACAGTGCCACAGGCTATGAACTAAGCCTTTCACACATGGGACTCTGGGGGACATTGCAGACCCAAATTATAGCATGAGGTCTACTACAAGGTAATTATGTCGTGGCAGCACCACCTTGGGAAGACATTAATACCAATGTTGAGACTATGGGTTAGGACACATGGTATTGTTAAAAATATATAAGTTCAGCTTTCTTACCTCACTCTGTTGCTTCCTGTTTCCCCATGTGGCATCTTTCTCTCCCAACATGTGATGCTATCTGCCATGAAGTCCTCACCAAAAACTAATCCTGGCATCATGCTCTTGAACCCTCAGAACTATGAGCTTTTAAGAAACCTCTTTTCTTCATAAACTGTCAGGTATTATTTTGGGGGGTGGGGAGGGTACCAGGGATTGAACTCAGGGGCACTTGACCACTGAGCCACATCCCCAGCCCTATTTTGAATTTATTTACAGACACGGTCTCACTGAGTTACTTAGCACCTCACTAAGTTGCTGAAGCTGGCTTTGAACTCACAATCATCCTGTCTCAGCCTCCCTAGGCACTAGAATTACATGCATACACCACCGCGCCTGGTACTGACATTTTTTTTAAAGTAGGTATTTCATTTTTTTCAAAGTTAAGGGGAAACTCCAAGTCAGCCCCCCCCCATTTCTTTCTCTTTTTAGCACCAAACTGATTTCTCCAGACATAAAATATATGTGCAATGAGAGAGGCTTTAAGAATAGACAAGCAGGACAAAGACAATTTAAATAAACAAGATCTATACTTGTTTAGCAGATGCTCTGAAGGGGCTAATACCTGGATAGTCTCAGGTATTTTGTTTTAACAATCCAAAAGGAACTAAGGCAGTCACCCTCATAAACAAGTACATCTCACCTTTCTATTCCTAGCATGACAGGACAATAGAAAGGCATTTCACTTACCCTCAGAAGCTTTCCAGTAAGATACACCAACAGCATGAAGACTGACAGGATGAGTAGCCATGTTGTTAAGTGTAATAACCACTGTGTCATAAACCTCAGCCTGGATGGTCGGACCCAGCAGACCTGCAAGAATGAGATGTCCCTCAAAGGTCACTTGAAAGATAGCACTCCAGTTGTTATGAAAGTGAGGATCAATGTCACAGTGGAGAGGCAAGCTCCTGTGATTATTAAGAACAAGTAGTTATGCCAAAACCACCCCAGCCTCATGGTTGTTCTGAGGAAATATTTCTGGCAATTCATTAAGTGCATTCATCAGTTCAACTAATATTTGAGTTGGAACTGTCCTATGTACTAGATTTCACATTATAGAAACATTAAGCATGTAAAGAAATAACAAGAAAATTTGAAGTTATTGTGATTTCTATAAAGGATGACAATGTGTGCTAGAAAAATAATGAAGCAGGAGATAGGAGATACTTTGAATATAGTGGTCAAGAAGATCCTCTCTGAGGACATGGCATCTGCAAAGAGATCTGACTAATAAAAAAGAAGCAATAGTTTCAAAGACCTAGTGGAAAATCATTAAAAACAGATAAAATGCAAATCTCCTGAGATAGGAATAAGCTTGGTGAAACAAGGTAAATAAGTAATAGAAAATGTGGTTATAGAGATAGGGAACATAACATGTAGGACCTTATAGGCCATAAGAGCAGGATAAATCTTGATTTTACGGAAGTAAAAGAGGACAACTTGGAACTTGTTTTGAAGTAACAGTCAATAGGACTTATGGATGGACTGGATGTTGGAGACAGAATAAAAGAGAAAGAGAGGGGTAAAAAATTATTCATATGATCTGTGGCTTCTACTCTGGGTCATTTGTTAATCCATGACACAGAAAAGCAAGAGAAAAATTAAGAGTTCTATTTTGTGGGGCCTGGACTATAGTTCCATTGGAAGACTGCTTGCCTCACATGCACAAGGCCCTGGGTTCAATCCCCAGCCACACACACACACACACACACACACACACACAGAGTTCTGCTTTGTGGATATTATAAGATGCCTATAAATGGGGCTGGGGCTGTAGCTCAGTGGTAAAGCTCTTGTCTAGCATGTGTGAGGCACTAGGTTTGATTCTCAGCACCACATAAAATAAATAAAATAAAGATATTGTGTCCATCTACACCTAAAAAATATTTTTTTAAAAAATATGCCTATAAATGGTTTATTGAATTAATAGGATTCAATGAAAACATAAAATAGCTTTGTTTTTAATTGCAGTATATGGAATTTTCCTCTCTTACACTTTGACTGATCCTAAATCTTTTCCAGTAACTTTCAGGTGTTAGCAAACAGCAACGTTTTTAGTATTATAAAACCAGTCCAGTCTAAATATAAAATTTTGATGTCCTCTGCAATTAAAAGTTCCCTTTTTCCTCCAGCTAAATTCTGGACCCTCTAAGGTAGAAGCAAATGGAAAGAGGGTGGGAGTGGAAAAAGAGTCTTGATGATAGGACTTGGTTTGAAATAACAGTGGCAGCATTGCATTAGTATCCCTTGGTTGTAGCACATGCCAAAATTCTGCCTCTTTTGTGGGAATATATCTGAGTCCTTTGAAGACCCCCTCCCCAACCCTCAATATGGTGACATCATACTGTATCTCTCTCCATGGGGTATACACTTTTTAGCTGGTCACTTGCATGTTTCCCCTTAGTTTATGTTTCTGGCAGTACAACCCACATGGGCCTTTTCTCTTGGGGTCTCATCCTGTGAACTTTCTGGCCTCATGCTTAACAATAATAGTGCAGTCACATTCTACTATATCCCACCCTCCCTGCTATGCCATCAGGGGAAATTACTCCTAGTCTCTGACCTTAAAAGGTTTTTTTTAAATTTTTTTTAGTTATACATGGACACAATATCTTTATCTTATTTATTTTTATTTTTATGTGGTGCTGAGGATTGAACCAAGTGCCTTACATGTGCAAAGCAAGTGCTCTACCACTGAGCCACAGCCCCGGCCCTAAAGTTTTTAGAGACAGAAATCAGGCACTAGTCAGTATGTCAAGTTCCAGAAGTGCTATGTCTAGTCTTCTAAGTTGTTCTCCTGAAGTCTTCATTGTTATAGCTTGACATGAGGGAGATTTATTCCCCTCACATGGTAAGGGATATCCCCAAAATGCTCTCCAAAAAATCTTTAAATATAAACTTCCTAGCCTTCTTTTATATAGGCTTATAAGTGAGTCATGGTCCAAGGGTTACATAACTAGTTTTGAACCACTATATGAACAAGTCCTGAATAGGTGGGCTAATACCTTTTTTCATAATATAGGAATATTTGTCACCTATAATTCTCCCAATAATTCTTTTTTTTAAGAGAGAGAGAGAATTTTTTAATATTTATTGTTTAGTTTTCGGCAGACACAACATCTTTGTTGGTATGTGGTGCTGAGGATCGAACCCGGGCCACACACATGCCAGGTGAGTGCGCTACCGCGTGAGCCACATCCCCAGCTCTCTCCCAATAATTCTAAGACAGAGACATGGAGTATAGCTCAGTGGCAGAGTGCATGTCTAACATGTGCAAGGCCCTGGGTTTGATACCCAGTGCCACCAAAAAAAAAAGTTATGACAGGAAATGTCTCATCTGAACACCTTGTTGCATGTTTATTCAACATCTAAGTGAAAGTATGCAGTTAGTGTTCACGTGAGAGGTGTAAGTGGAAAATAGAAGTTTGGGAATTATTAGCATATAGATAATATTTTAAAGTCATAAAGCTGGATAAGATCACCTATGGATTGATGATAGAAAGAAAAGAAATCCAGAATAATGCTGCAGGAGCACTGCAACATTTATAGAAGACACAAGTGTCAGCCCTAAGTATGGCAGTAAGGAAAACTGAACAAAAGAACATTCTTTTTGACAGCTGCCATATTTAACTGCACTCCCAAGATTGGAGAATCCTTGCTAGGAAATAAGATAACCAGTGTCATAATTAGCATTCAATATTGTTTTTTTATTACCCATCCAGGGTGGCCTGGGCTTGGCAATGTTGAAAAGGTGATCCGTGAACTCTACAAACACAGTCTTTTTATACATGACCGAGGTATTGAACGGAAAAGATCTTTGTGTTCTAGGAGGAAATCTGTATGGAGAAAGGAAAAGTCATTCAAAATTCAGCTGCAACTAATGCTCCCATCCCATTCTCATCTACTGTTAACAAATGTTCAGTTACTAAATTAGAAGTTGTACATGAATCCCTGAAAGCCACCAAATCAAACACTGTTTCTGCAAGTCAACTTATATATTAGGTACAAAATGATAGATCATAAAATCAAGACCCATACAGTACATCAGCCAAAAATTTTTCTGCCAAAGCAATAACTATTGAATCTTTCAATTTCACCTCTAAAACAGACTATAACTTTAACCTAAGTATCTTACATGAAAATTTGATCAATATGAACTTAAAATTATACTTTCTTACTTAGGGGTACCAAGAATATCACAGAGACAATTAACTTTCAATGAAGACTATATACATTGAGACCTTCTGATACCAAGCATTATAATTCACAGACAATTATACATTAATGCTCATTTTTGTGTCTAGTCTAATACTCCCAATTATCTATTTATTCATGGATCAGTTACTAAATTAGAAATTATTATTAAAATTAATTATATAAATGTTCCTAAAGTGTTATTTTTTTTCATAAGTCATCAAAATTCTTTTAGGTTCCCAAGTTTTCCTCTTTCCCTACCTGACAAGTTAGGCTGTTATGTCCTGAGCCCCCGATTTAGATTGAATAATCAAAATAACCAATGTGAATCCTAGTGAAGATGGGACACTAGACCCAAGCAAATTGATAGAAATTATGAAGTAGCTGAATGTGAATATTTAAACTCACTGGTTTTCATATGCTGGTAACTTTTTCACACCATGGAACAGTTCTGTAGCTTTCTATATGCCACAAAGAGCCTCTCTTCCTGATTTATGCTTTCAACATCTAACTTTTATTTTCCATTAGATTTTACCAGTTGATATCATTTCAATAAGACATGGGAATTCAATTAATTCTCATGAGGAAGAAAACTTTCATGTATAGATCCTGGTCTTCAAACTTCAATCAATCAAAAAAAGTTAAGCACTTGCCCCAAACAGATGTATACTGACTTACATATTGTAAGGATGGCCTTAGGCCTTAGTCTAAGCAACTCCATTCTAAAACTCCATTTTAAAATAAACCTGCAGTCTCACCAGGCCAGCCTATGGAGCCCTCTGATATGCCATCAGGCATATCCTGATAAAAGCAAGTCAGTTTCCACAATCCTGGTAAGAGTCAGGGTGAAGTCACATGTCATTTGTCATAATCCTGATAAGAGTCAAAAATGTGATATCAGGGCGGAAAACACCAGACCATATGTCCTGACTCCAAGATGTAAGATGTTACTAGCAAACCTGGTAACAGCTGATGGGGACCCAAAGGGTGAACAGAAGCTCCCAAAATTTAGTATAAATAATGGAACAAATGAACAGACATTCAGCCAGCTGACACTGATGCACACAAGCCTGAGAGCTTAATGAGGACCTGGACTGATATCCCAACTCTTCTCACCATCGGCCTAATCCTCTGCATCATCCTCACCACTCTCAAAGTCTTCAGCAGACTTTACTCTAGTGAAAAAGGCGACCTTTCCTTACTTCTCCTTCTCTTCAGCCAGCCATCAGCTCCAGGAGAAGCTTCTATGGGTTCCTGACTGGTCACTGCAGTCTGAGTGAGTGTGTATGTGCTGGACTTGAGACCTAAGATTTTAGACTTTAAATCTAGCACTTAAGCTCAGCATGCAGAGGGAATGTCTAATAAGTCTGTCATGATGAGGTGTGTTTGCAAACTTAGAATTGTTTGCTTTGAATTGATTATGTCTATTGCAATGCCCAGCACTAAGGACTGTCATTCCTTGATTAAGAACCTATAGAGTGAAATTGTATTGAGTGATTTGGAGTGAATAAAGCATTGAAAAGGGCATAACGCGTGGACATTCTTCCTCTCTCCCTCAACTGCAGTGTTGTACCTTTGCCCATTGTGACACATATTAACCACATACTATGTACCTCCTCTGTGCTATCACAAAACACACATCAGAAATGAATATGGAAAATGAAAACTTTTTAAAGACATAATTAATGTGGAAAAAGTGTTGTTTGAGTCTCCTATGTTATTGATTCTCAGGAGTTTTTGAAAAGTGAGAGATGTGAGAAATGGACTATAGCACAAATAAAAGATGAATGGGGGACACAGAAAAAGGAGCCCCCAAATATCAGCCAGTGAGACACCTTCACTGTTGTAAATGACCACAATAAATATGAAATGGGAGAAATAAGGGACAGCTTCTGATTGTATTTATAAGCCTGGAGTGAGAGTCCATCATGCCTGAGATTACCAGGATGTGAAATGAATAAAAGTAAGTCTAGGTATTGATCACTTATTTGTTTCTTTCTCAACCCTATGGTGAAACAACCAAAGTCTCATTGTTTCTTTCTGGAGCATCCACACCTGGTTATTTTTTTCTTTTTAGTTTTGATTGCAATAAAATATGATAATGTGAAAACATATAGGTCACATTTTGATTAACCATTTATCTGGCAAAAGACATGAAGAGCTATTGTGAATAATGTTGGTATGGACAGCAATACATATATAACATGTAGTATATCTCTCCTTTTTGTTCTGTTTCTTTGGAGAATCCTTAATAATACAATGGATGTACAAATATCTCAAGTCCCTGCTTTCAATTATTTTGAATATATACCTAAAAGTGTAATTGCTGGATCAAATGGTAACTCTAGTTTTTAGTTTTGGAGGAATTGCAGTACTCTTTTCCATATAAACTGTAGAATTTAATATTCCCAACAGTAAATAAGGACTTTAATTTTTCTGTATTTTTGCAAACATTTGTAATTGTTTGTATTTTTAGAGTAGCCATCATGGTGGGTAAGGTGGTATTTCTTTGTAGTTTTATTCATATTTCCTTAATAATTAGTGATTTATGTCCTTTCATGTGCTTATTAGTCATGTGTATATTTTCTTTGGAGGAATCTCTATTCAAGTCGTTTGTGCCCCACAATTTTGGGATGCTGGGGATTAAAATTAGGGGTTCACAAATGTTAGGCAAGTGGTCTACCACTGAGTTCTATTGCCAGGCCATATTTCCCCTTTCAAATCAGGTCATTTGCTTTCTTGTTATTGGGTTTTAAGAGTTCTATACATTGGTTAGAACTGGGCTAGGGTTGTGGCTCAGTGGCAGAGCACTTGCCTAGCATGTGTGAGGCACTGGGTTCGATCCTCAGCACCACATAAAAAAATAAATAAATAAAGGTCCATTGACAACTAAAAAATATATTTTTTTAAAAAAAGAGTTATATATATTTTCTGGATAGTAATCCCTTATTTAAATCTAACATAGGATTTACAAATAGTTTATGTCATTCTGCAGGTTGCTTTCTGACTCTGTTGTGTCCTTTTATGAACAAACTTATTTAATTTTCATGAAGTCCAATTCATCTGTTTTTCTTTCATTGTCTTTGCCTTCAGTGTTATATCCAAGAAAGCACTGGCAAATTCAAAGCCATGCAGTTTTACCCTATATTTTCTTCTGAGAGTTTTATAATTTTAACCTTACATTTAGGTTATGGATTCCTTTGAGTTTATTTTTGCACATAGTGTTAGTTTAGGCCCAATTTCACTGTTGGTTTTTCATATGTGGCTTTTATTATATTGAGATAATATCCTTTTATTCCTAATTTCTTTTTTTAGAGAGAGAGAGAGAGAGAGAGAGAGAGAGAGAGAATTTTTTTAATTTTTTTTTTTATTTTAGGTATTGGCGGACACAACATCTTTGTTTGTATGTGGTGCTGAGGATCGAACCCGAGCCGCACACATGCCAGGCAAGCGCGCTACCACTTGAGCCACATCCCCAGCCCGATATTCCTAATTTCTTAAGGGTTATTAACATGAAAGGGTGTCAAATTTTTTCAAATGTTTTTCCCACATCAGTTGAGATGATCATATGTTTTCCCCCATTCTGTTAATGTATTACACTGGTAAATTGTCATATGCTGAAACATCCTTACACTATAGGAGTAAATCTCATTATTGTTGTATTATATAATCCTTCTAATATACTCCTAGATTTGATTTACTCATATTTTGTTAAAAAGCAATGGAAAAGTCACAGGCCAGGGGCACAGGCTCACCTAAATACTAAGATGGAGAACTAGTCATACCACTATAGAGTGCATGCCCTGCCCATCACCCCACCAACACATCACTAAAAGCCTATTTATAGCTGTACCTTGTACCCAGTATATCATGTCCAGAAAAAAATACAAGACATTCTAAAAAGAAAACAATCCAATTTGATGAGACAAATTCAACACCAGAACCAGAGCCAGATATGACAGGAAAGTAGAAATTATCACACTAGAAACTTTTAAAAACAATGACCTATATGCTAAGGGTTTTAATGGAGGAAGTAGAAAATATATAATAACAGATATATATTGTAAGCAGAGAGATGGAAATTCTAAGAAAGAATCAAAAAAATAATTCTGGAAGTAAAAAAAAATACTGTAACAGAAATAAAGAATATCTTTGATGGGCTGTTTTTTTTTTTTTTTTGATACTGAGGATTGAACCCAGGGTCACTGAACCACTGAGCCACATCCCCAGTCCTATTTTGTATTTTATTTAGAGACAGGGTCTCACTGAATTGCTTAGCACCTCATTGTTGCTGAGGCTGGCTTTGAACTTGTGATCCTCCTGCCTCAGCCTCCCAAAATGCTGGGATTACAGGTGTGTGCCACCATAACTGGCTTAATGGGGTCATTAATAGAATAGCAGAGGAAAGAATCTCTGAGCTTGAGGATATGATCATAGAAACTTCAAAAAATTACTGGAAAAGCAGAACAGAATATCTACAATCTGTGGGACAAGTATAACACATACAAATGTAAATACCAGAAGAAGAGAAAAGAAAGAAACAGAGGCCAAGTTTTGAAACAACACTGAGAGGCAATTGATCTCCCCAGATTAATACTACACATCAAACCACATATACAGGAAACTTACAAGAAGTATAAAT